CAAAAATGTCCATTTACAATACTCCCATGGAATCCAAGATGTGGATATTGGTCAACTTGATCCTGCCTAATCTAATCAACAGCCCACACGCAATTGGCGATTTGACTGCATTTACATATTTGACGATTGGAAACTAATTTGGTAATAAACAGCGTTTAACATTATAGTTTCCTATGTCATATGATGCATTTTTCTCCACATGTTAATGGGCAAGTAGATAGGTTCTCATGTGACGACCGTTGCGTGTTCAAGGTACGTCATTAGGTTTAAACAATCATGCGATTGGTGTGTTGCCAACACAAGTTGGTGGTTTGATTCAAGAGGATTGGATGAACCCATGTCAATTACGCGCACCCATTTAGTGAGTTCGTGCGACCGTGAACCTGAACTAAATGTACCTCTATAAATACAGGTCTGCTGTATGATCGAATTAGCCGAGTAAAATTAACGACCTGAGCCATGATGAGGTAAACATTTATATTTATCTTAACATTAATACTGCAATTGCCTTTAGTCGCAAAGACATAGAAGAGCTGTTTTACGTGATCGACTCAGACGGATCCGGATATGTGGATGTTGAGAAGCTTGTGAAAGCGTTTAAAGATGATGAAATCGCCCAGGACGTTGCCAAGGCGATATTTCGAAAGTTTGACAAGAACAGGGAAGGGTTAGATATAAACGAACTTGCCAACTTCATGAGTTAGAATTAATAAATTCATTGCGTGAATAAATGGCTTCTTTATTGCCTTCTTTTGTTTTGCCATTTGCGTTAATTCAATTCAAATGTTCGCTGTTATGTGAGGCTATGGAAAATAAGAGCATCTATTTGTCAACTTACGTTCCTGCACAACCATTGTTTACATGCTCATCAGCAGGGTTTGTGGGTGTGTTTGGAAAAGGAATTTGCTCTAAGAGGTCCAAATTGAATAAGCCTGGTTGATGTCCATGTCGGCCGCTCGTTAAGCATTTGAGAGCACGTTATTTTCTTTAATCTGTTCATAATATCACCATAACTAATGATGTTGGTTGTGTTCTATGCTGCTGATATAGATGCAATTCATGCGTTGTTAGTTTCAGTTTGGCGGATTAGAGCAACTCAAACACATCTACTTGTCCAATGCATTTGCACCTGTGCGTTCTTGGAAATAACGCCAAGTCAGACTCATTTTAAGCCTAGTCAGATCTGTTGTTCTAGAATTTCACAGGCCTTCCAAAGGCATTAAGTCAGACCCGATGATAACCAACTGTGTTTTAATCTTACTGTCCACCCCTAGTCTGCACACAAAGTAGCAAAAGGCAGTT